TTTTATATATAAATAACACATTTTTCTTAAATATATACATGCATGTGTGTGTATTTATATACACAAAATAATTATACACAGTACACACACATATATTATGTAAACACAAACTTTTATTTTGGATGCGATTAATCGTTGCCCAGCACCAATTAAAAATAAATAATTTTTGAATAAAATTTTTTATAAATTTAAGGAATTACAAATATTATCAATCAACATTTTTCTTACTTTGCCCACCACCTTGCTTTTTTTTCTTTTTTTTTACCGAGCACATCTGAGTTTCTGTGAAGGATCTAAATCTTCGTAAGCATACACATGATGCCTCAAAATACTTTCTCCATAAGCAGCTCATGTTTTGGAAAAGACCCATGAACTTCCCCAGTTTTGTAGCACCATCATTTACAAAGTCTTTTGCTCCAAGCAGGGGGCCGAATTGGAAACTGGACGAAAACAGCTTTGTGAGCTAAGGTCCAGTTGTGGTGGTTTGTGGGTATAAGAAGCGATCAGGCCCCTGAAGGGTGGACAGGAAGGAGAGGACGACAAAGGGATCAGTAAAGAGATGAGGATGTTAACCTCATCAAAGCTGTGACAGAATGTGGTCTGATGAGTAGAATAAGGAAGGAAGGGACAAGAAGAAGGTTAACATCCCATATTTAAGATACAAAGGGGCCTCCAGAGAGACCCGAGCAGGATGTAGGGAAATAAGGGATGTGAATCTCATCACTTCAAATCAAAGAAGAGAGCTTGAAAGCAGCTTTAAGAGGAGAGGTAAAAGTGAAAGCGTTCAAAGAGGGACACCAACATCTTGGTGTCCAACACAGGCCACAGCATCAACACACCCATTAATCACCTTGTGAGTGAGTGTGTGAGCAAGAGAAGCATCAGATTTGGTATAAACGGGTACTGTGTTTCAGCAGTCACGGATCGTGTTTCTCTGCATTACACGGTCATAGATACCAGTGTGCTGCGTTAAAAGCTGCTATTCCATTACTCTCTGTCTTTAGGGTGTGTGTGGCTGTCCGTCTACTGGGACTTGGGATCATTCCTTTAGTGTCGACTGCTGTGTCTGTGTGCGTCCGTGGCCCTCTCAGGACCTCTGTAAAAGGTCATTTGTGTAGTGTCTGCTGCTTTGTGTGCACGTAAATCAGATAAGAGTGGAACACAAACCCTATTAGAAGCTAAAAGCAGAGACATAGTGACAAACAAAGACGTAACGGGAGTATGGATCCGATGGGAGACAGGCTTAAAACTTGTCATTAGAGACACCTAACTCATGTGCACAGAGAGGAAAAAAAGCCACCTTCCATGACATTACAAAAAAAAAAACTGTAAACACAAAATCCCATAAGAAATCAGTCTTTATGTCAAAAAAAAAAAAAAATCTTTCAGAAAACCACCGACAAACTGCCACCAAATATTAGACCAGCACAACCAAAAAACCATCTCAAATTATTTACATGTAATGACCAGCCATCACTACAGATAAAATACATGGATACATGATATATTGGCACCATGTCATTTACGGTCTTTATTAAAACAAATTAGATATTTAATTGTATCCACTTTATTTCAATTATTTTAATTTATAGTGAGTTTAAATTCCCTGTTAAACTATTACAGTTTTATAATATTGGCCAATTTATAGTTATTTATACTGATCATATTTATTTCAATTCATAGATAATCTGCTATAGGAGGAAATATTTTTATTTAAACATAATAAAAGGAAATATAAAAACATATTTATATAAAAATGAGCAATTTAGACAGATGCTGAAAAAAAAAAAAGATAATATTGGACAGCACAGATATGGTTAATCCATTTAACAAGAGCAAAAAAAAAATGTTGCAGGACAATAAAGAAGTCAAAAACTGAATTTTATCAGAGATCAAGCTAGCTAACTAGGCAATGCAAGCTAAATACAATTAGTCCAAAGGCTTCCTGTTTAACAGCTGCTCTTTGGGTTGTCGTTTGAGAGCTTTTCCCCTCTCTGAGGGCCAGGCAGAGTGGATGACTCTTCTGGTGACTCCAGCGGGAAAACTAAACCAGATGGACACACAGAGACCCTGAGCTCTAGGGGGAAAGAGATCGGCTTTCCTAACGGAAATCGTGGCATTACTCACCTGAGGCTATGCTAACCATCCCCAGAGATAAGGTGGAATGAGAGAAGTGGGTGCCCTGTGAGAGCATAAGGGTTAAACTTATTGTGTATGTGTGCGTATCTGAACAGGGCTGCTGTTTGTACAAGAGAGCAGAGAGTAACAGGCCCTTAAATCAGTAAGATCTTCTAAAGCTCATGGGAATGGAGCAGCTATGAGTGTGAGAATGTGTGAAATCTGCCGGAGGTTGAATGAAGAGAGGACTGGAACAAACCATGTAGCTCTATAATCTATGCTATACTAAGCTGCTTTAATGGGCAACATAATAGATGAACCAAATTTTTTAACCAACCAATCTGCTATTTGCTAAATCAGATAGCAGATGCTACGTGATAGAACAATATAGTTTATATTATGTATGCAACTACTAAACTAAAGAATATGCTACAATCTTTTTTTTAGGTATGTTTGTAACCCTGCTGTTTTAGTTACTTCCCAAAATAGCATCTGACTCCAATGGGGCTAACAGATAGAGTCCAGTTTAGATTTGGTCTAAGAAACTCAAAAAGTAAGCAAGGAGTCCAGAGACGCAGGAGCAAAGGATGGGAAAACTATCAGTGTGTAACTCAAGAGAGATGAGATGGAGACTTAACATAAATTTTACTTTTAGAGCTTTAAGTAGAAAATCTCTACACAGCTATATAGTTACTATACTACCAGCCTACACACAGGGAAATGAAGAGTGAATCATGGCCAGAAGTATGAGATGAGCCTTTGTTAGTCCTGAGGATTTTGATCCTGCAGCTCTAATCAGAATGAGAGACATCAATCCTGAAAGACTCAAGTCAAATACATTAAGCAATTGCTGGTCCAGCCCCACTATGCTTTTACAGTAAATCAACTGGCCCTGTTCAGAGACGTGTATCTTTTCCCTACACTAAATCGACAGGGTAACATTGGTACCGTGACATTGGTAATCTTGTAACTGTACAACTTTGATCAAAGTAAGTATGTTTTATGCACAGCATTTCAAGGAATCAAAAAAAAAAAAAAAAAAAAAAAATTGTGCTGGATCTATATATAAAAACCAAACTTTAAAGTTAAAAAAATATATATAATTAAAAATAATGATAAGAGTACTCCATCACTGCCAGAAAATTCCCTGAACAGGAAGGAAACAAATCATGGACAAAAAGAGTCTCCAGTGCGCACCCTCTCTCGGCACACACACAAACGCCGGATGAGGATAATGTACTGACAGTAAATGGCCTTAAGTGTAAGACCATGATTAATGCTCGCTGCCAATCTCATTTGCCTCCAGGTGGAAACTCTTATGAGAAACAAGCATTTCCTCAGTTGAGTAAAGGGATAAAACATAGCAAACACTGTAATCCAGGGTTTTTTAAAAAGTCTTGCTCTCCTGTAATAGAATAAAGCTGTAAGCCATGTGAGTACCACCAATTTACAATTGTTAAGGAAGACATTAGGCATGAAGAATTAAAAAGGTGACAGCAGCAATATGATAAAAAACACCAAGTAGCACTATTTCTATTGCTTATACTTGCAGTCCAAGGGTTAAATGAACCCCTATCTCCAAGAATTAAACTGAAAATAAAAGATGATGCTGCTGTGACAACTAGCCTATATCGGATCTGACAGCAATGTCGCAAAACAACACACAAGTGTGAGTAACTGTTTTTGAAGAAAAAGAAAAAGAAAAAAAAAGATATTCAAGCAAGCTAGTATGCATAGGCCACGAAGTGTTGGCGAAATAACAAATTAGCGTTCAGAGGGAATATGGATTTTTTTTTAACAAAATAAATTCAAGCACTTTCAAGGACCTGTATCTATGCATGTTTATTTTCAAAAAGTTTTCAGGGCCTTGATTTTTTTTCTTTTTCAGATTCACAAACTTTCAAGGATTTCAAGGAATAATACAGCGAGAATAAAAGTTACGCCTTCTTTCTTTGCGTATCCATTTGGGTGACCTATCCATTTGTGTATCCATTAGATAGCCTAACTGCTTTCTCTGGGTCAGCATCAAAGCAAAAGCAGATTTTATATGTACAGGTGAGATTTTGTAAAAGGTTTAATAGACAGTCGTATCATTGTCATTTTGGGTGTTTGAATCGAGATAGCAATCTTTAATGACTGTGCAGCTCTACGTCAAAGGCAGGGGAGCCTCAGTCAGGGCACATCCATGAAATTGCCACAGACCAATGGTAGTTTCATTGCGTTTACCAGCTGGAGAAAAAAAAAATGTGTGGAAAGTTCATTTTGGCAAGCTGTTTCCAAAACCCAAAACGAACACCAAACAAACTTCTGGCCTGATTTTGTTCGAAACGATGTCACACCATATCGGGCCTTTACTTTTCAAGCAATGGGATGAGTTCTCAACTGGGGGACAATAAAACAGCTCAAAAATACACTGAAAGAGGGACCCAGGCCATATCTAGGGGCAAACAATATTAGAGACTACCCACAACAGCCTAGCAACCACATAGCAACACTCTGGAGGGCTGTGGGATCAGCAGTTATACAGTTGCCACATCCATCATAAGGACAAGGTTTAACACGGAGAACTAAAATTACATGAACTGACATTCCCACTCAGACCCGAGACACACCTCAAATTAGAAACACCTTTGCTGACCATGTCATATGGGCTGAGGCCAGGACACACCCTTTTCTGCCTCTCATCATCCATCCCATACTCTCCTTTTCTCTTCCAGAAGACGTCTAGAGCACTAAATCTATTAGCAAGCACATTCTTGTGTTTTTGAGACTTCACTCAATGACGAAATAAAAGAAAGCAAACTGCCAGACTTTTTCAGATAAGATAAAGAAAAAGTAGAAGAGTGCTGGAAGGAAGAAAGGAGATTATTTTCTTAACTCACCTTAGTGAAAAATACTGAGAGATGAGTCTCGCTGCCAAGGATCCAAATAGGGAATTTTGGAGATTTGAGGAAAGAGCCAACCTTTAAAAGCAGAAAAAAGAAAAGCGGTTGAGCGCCAGTCTCCATACCGATGCCATGACGGCCTGGCCAGCCACATTCCAGAACCATCACGAACAGGTTGATTCACTGCGATAAGATGATTGGTAACGCATAAGAATGGCCAACTACTAAATCATTTGGCTTATTTTGGACCTTAGTTATGGATTGGATAAAAAGGTTTTGAAACCATTTTACACTATGCTAGAATGTTCATTATAACTGTATCAATGTTGAGTGTATTATATGAACACTGAAACATGTAGTTAATGATCTACATCAGGGGTAGGGAACATCCGGCCTCTTATATCTGACCCCCGAGACCATTTGAACAGGCTTGCACGGCCATTTGACAACTCGATTTCAAAAAACTGTTTATATATTTAAAAAGATTAGAAACTGTTCTATAACAACAACAAAACATATTAGTAACATAAAATAATATATATACTTAATAAATAAATAAATATAATATTGTTACCTTTCAAAATTATTGAATGTTTTTTTCTCTGATGTTTCATCACAAGCATGCACAGAATCAATTTTATTCCACAATGTAAAGGTCAATGCAGTTTCATCCATTGCATTAAATGCAAGTTATGCTTTATCAATGTTATGATGCATGCAATGTATTGCAAGGCTGCATTTATTTGACAAATAGTACAGTAAATACAGTCCTCTATTTTAACAAAACTTAATTTAATTTATTTTGGTGATGGCAAAGCTGAATTTTCAGCCATTACTCCAGTGTCACATGATCCTTCAGAAATTATTCTAATATGCTGATTTAGGTTTAGGAAACATTTCTTATAATTAAAGATACAGTCCGCAGTTTTTCCTCTGTCGCCATCTCTGTTCGAAACCTGCAATTGCAGTCATTCGCAGAATTATCAACTTTACGTGAGTTGTACCTCGGCATGGCACAGCGCGCCGTGAATTCAATGTTTTGAGGAGAATGTGCAGCTGTCAGTCTCCGCGCCGGTGTGGATACTGGCATTCAGAATCATAGATTCCACATATCACTACTTTTTGGAAGTATGACCAACATAAGAATTTTCACCCTAAAATGTCATCTGAACAAGTAACATCCATTTTTGTTCTTCTGACCAACTAAGGGGGAAAAAAGCATTGCAGTAAATCGCGCTGATTAAATCCAACGATTGTTTATCATATCACGTCAAACCGTGCAAATGATTCTTTGTTCTTAAATTGTTAATATTAACAACATCAGCATTGCGTGACTACATTTAAAGCCCTTCAGATATTTATCCTTGTTTTCGCATGGGCCCGGTTGCAGTCTCTTTTTCCAAACTCTCAGTCCAAAGTCTTTTGCATTTTACAACGTGTGAGTCTCTAGTTGTCACTGGTGATTGTCGTTTGAACCTTTCTGGATCCGCCATCAAATTGATAAGTTTAATTATATCAAGTGCTGTGAGAAAAGGCTATAAATCTCCTCCTCCAACATCTTCACACGCAATATAGCCTATACTAGCCGAGACACCTTCTCTATGTGTACAGATGTGACGTAATGACGCAAAGACATGCTCGAATTTCCCACGGAAATCCACCATTGCCACTGGAATTAAAAACATTATTACAAGCTTACCGTTTTGAATCGAGCTAAGGCAAGCAGAGAGTTTTGAACACTGGCTGGTTATGCACTTGCTCAAAATTATTTTGGATAATTTTTAACCCAAAAAAGTTACGGACTGCAGCTTTAAGAATGTTGAAAACAGTTTAATATTTTTGTGAAAACAATAGTGCAGTTTTTCAGGATAAGAAAATAATAGAAAAGAACAGAAGTTCAAAAGAACTGCATTTATTTGAAATAGAAACCTTTTGTAACATTATGTCTTTACTGCCACTTTTGATCAATTTAATGCATCTACCTTTGCTGAAAAAGTAATAATTTCTTACAAAAAAACCCATCTCACTGAACTAAAACTTTTGAACAGTAGTGTACATGAACAGGCTCTTGATTTGAAAAAGGTTCCCCACCCCTGATATACATACAAAAACACATCCACCAATGAAAACCAAATGAGCAGTAAAAAAAAAAAAAAAAAAAAAAAAAACTTCAGTTCAGACTGTAACTCTGCCTATAGCTCCATCTCCAGCCGTGCATTCAAACACTGAAAGCGCTAACACTCATCTCCCATCACTCAACAGGTGAGTATCAGCAGCAGATTTGGGTAGGGGAGGCGATCCAGGGGTGTGCGGATTAAAAAGATCATGAATATTGTGATGGGGGCTCAGATGGTTCTAAATATGAGGCGATACATTCCTGCGTTCTTCTAATCCAAACACAACTCACTGCACATATCCTGAAGCTCTGCTTAGCACAGTGCCATTCAAAATAAAGCAGCTTCTTAATTACTTTATCCACAGGTTAAAACAATAGGGCCATTCCTACAGGATGTGTGTGTGCCAGGTGTTATTGGCTGAAATTTCAGATGTTTGGGATTTAGAGGGCACCACATTAGCATTTAAAAATATGTTAAGGCCCGGGTATAATTAATTTTCCACGTTTCACTCAGTCTCAAGCACAGTCGTGTCTACACAGTTTTGAAAGTATACTCAACCGTGGATGGACACATTCGACACATGCGCAGCACAATTGTTTTTTTTTATACTCTACCAGACGTCAGAGGGCAGCACTGAGTCGTGTCATTTACAATACATTCGCTCGGATCCGCCATTGCGTGTAAAGTTTAGAACCAAAACAAAAGATGGAGAATGATATGCTGATTTGTTTACGGTTCTTTGAACAACGTGTTGTTCTCATCGATCTGTATGCACTCTTCTTCGACTACTGCACAATATATCACAACTGTGCATATTGCCACCTAGTGGACTCTTCGGTCTCAACATTCACCTTTGTATGGTCGGACGTCCGAAGCATACTTTGGCTTTAGGGAGACGGGAACCATTTCACTTTTGAAAAAAGAACTAGTACAACTGAATATTATCTAAATAATTGAAGGTCTCAGTCCAAGGGGGCTGGAGGATGACGTAAAATGATTGAATTAAGTTATTTACAAAAATGATTTATAATTGTAGGAAAAAGAAAGGATTTCCTTTTCCCCCTCAATAACTATTGTTTTTAAAAATTTACGCCGTTAAAATGGGTTTGCGTTAACGCCGTTAATAATGCGTTTAACTGACAGCCCTAAAAATAAATAAATAAAATTAAATGTATATCTTGGTAAAAACAACCTAAAAACTAGAAAAGACAACAGATTTTCCCTTTTCCAATGCAGAACTTCCATAATTGTTTTGTGTGTGAGAACAAACCCACAGAAATAGTTTCTTCCCCAACATAAAAATTCTTCATGCACCAAAACGGTGTAAAATATAGAGTGAAGAATGTCACAGTCAGTATTTTAGTAGGTTATTATGTTGCAATTACGCTTCAGAAAATCCCTGTGAGATATACAGCTGGAAAATAGCAAACCCACAAACAAACTGTGAGTTTTGGCATGTGGACACTCCACATCTTTCACACAACACGTGCCAAAATTGGTCTCCAGATTTATCAACACTGCAGATAGTGGAAACACTATCTATAGCACATGAATTATACTGTAAGCTTCTGTGAGGGTGTGTATGAGTAAATACCCACCTTGCAATAGCGCAGTGACTCCATTAGTGTGAGGAAGCCAACAGAGGCGTGCTGATGGATGCCATGAAGCTCTAGAGAACAAATAAAAATAAAAGAATAATCAAATTCCTCAATCAACTGTACAAAAATAAACAGTCTAACATAAAACACTAAAACCTAATGACCTTAGCAATTCTGTAACTGTTATTCTATGAGCAGGCATTGGTTAAGTGTGCTAAACCTTGAGCAAAACATTTGATAATGCTGCCACCAAGTGGGCTGCAACAGCAGAACAACTGATTACCTACTGTGAATCGATTTATTTAAAACAAACAGCATGTCAACAGATTATTATTCAGCAAAAATATGAAGCATACTCATTCCAGAACATTCTCTATCACCGTCCCACACGTTAGACACGGCATGACCTGTGACCAGCAGGTTGATTAGACTTTGGCTAAAAGTATAGAAAGAAAGACCATGAAACAGTCAGCATTCACTAGTATAAATATACAATAACTATACTTAAATACATTAAGATTAAGACTTTTAGAGTTTAAAATGTGCTTATATATATACAGGGCTATAGACCAGCATTATCCTATGGCAATGCAAGATCAATGTACAAGGTTCTAATGCAATAAAAACAGCATCCTAACAGTCTAAGCAATGATAATATAAAAAACTTGATCTCTCAGCATGCATTTTACCTGCCATGGCCATACACAGGGTCAATCAGAGGTTCAGAGGTGTCTTCGATCTCATTCTTTATGTTCTCAATCCCCTTCAAAAAAGTTAGAAGTTACAGCATAAGTACAAACACGCAGACACATAATGGATGAACATAGCTAGCTAGCGAATAACATACAGTTAGCTGGGCACATTTTCTCATGTAATCTACAAAAGTTTGGAGTGTGCAAGATTCCTTTTATTCAGAAAGGATGCATTCAATTGGTCTAAAGAGACAGTAAAGACATTAGTAATGTTACAAAATAGGGGTGTGCCATATCATACCGTTCACGATAATACCGGTATAAATTTTAACATGATAAAAAAAGTGTCATATCGCGATATCAATGATATAGCGTCGCGATGGCGTATGACGCATTTACGTTCCCTAGCCCGCACAACAACATCACCTGTCTGAGAGTAAGAGCAGCCTGTCAGCCTCCGATGACAATTTAGTACATAAAAAGGGAGCTACTTTAATAGAATGGAAGTGGTTTGGTTAGACCTCCAAAAAAAGCACAATATTTTGCAAAATATGCAACAAAAAAAAACCTGTTACTGCTAGGTGGAAACACAACAAGCAAAAACACACCGTCGAGTACAACCAAACTTTCTCCGAGACGCAATTTCAAAAACAGCTTGAGTGTTCAGCGGTGCTGCCGCGTCTTCTCTTTCTCGTCTCTCAAAATGTGTTGCATAAGGCAAGAGTCAAGCGCTGCAGGCGGCGATACCACACTCTCGCGTTTAGGAGTCGGGACAAAACTGAATTGTCACTTGCACAATTGGGCCATCAGTGCATCACAACTAAAGTTTATAAATTTCACGTCTTCTTAAGTCTTATCAGTTTAAACATTCAAGCGATTTTAAACTATCCAGTAGGCTACTCGCGCGCTCTCTGAGAGACTCCCGGCATTTCTCTGCGTGCATACATACAGTAAAGCCGCCTCACAAACAGCTTGCGAGTAACAAAAGTAATTTTTCTCGGATTATATCGCTTTAATGAGGGGGGGGGAGAGACGCAAAATTGTGTCAAAATTCCGGTCTTGGTAAGTATACTCGTAAACACAGTCGGTTATGTATAAAACGCATGTGACAGTGTGACAGACAGTATAATGAAAACAGCAATGGATCAGTGCACTAGCAGTAAAAGTGACAGCAGCCACATGTGTCTGTCAATAATGTTGTCATCAAAACAACAAAAGATAGCTTTAATTGTAAGGAATGAGAATGAATAGCCTATGTATTTCTTTTATTCAGGAATCAGAACTAAAAGACTGTGTTATTTTACATGTGATTACTTTATTCAGTTTCTGTAGTATTTCTGAATACTAGTGTTAGACCTACCCAAAAACTTTCTTTATTTGTGTCTTTTTTTTTTGTATAGATTTTTGCTACTTTTTTCAATTTAATTCAAAGATTGAAATCAAGCTTCCTTGTGTTGTGTAAACAACAAAATTACCCCATTGTAAAAACACAATGAGTGAGTAAACATTTAGGCGAGGAAAAAAAGAGAAGATTTTCTATATCGTCATAAATATCATTATCGCAAATATTCTTGAAACATTGTGATATAATTTTGAGGCTATATCGCCCACCCCTATTACAAAACTTTCTATTCATCAAAGTATCCTGAAATGTATGACAGGTTTCACAAAAATATAAAACAGCACAACTGTTTTCAACATTGATATTAATGAGCAATGTTTCTTGAGCAACAAATAAGCATATTAGAATGATTTCTGAAGGATCATGTGACTGAAGACTGGAGTAGCGATGCTGAAAATCAGCTTTGTCACCAAAATAATAATTTACATTTTAAAATATATTAAGATAAAAACAGCTATTTCAAATTGTAAAAATACTTCACAATATTGTGTTTTTTTACTGCATGTTCGATCAAATAAATGCAGCCTTGAGCATAAGAGACTCATTTTCAAAACATTTTAAAACATTCAAACACATTCAAAAACATTTTAAAAATACAGGCCCCAATGTTAGTGTAGATGAGAAAGGTTTACCATGCAAGCTCATTTTCCTGTGTTTCAATGGAACAAACAAATTAGTGGGGAAATGTAAAGTTATACCTTTGTAAGTATGACAGAGTACAGGAAAAGCAGAACTCCGAATTTGTTTTTCCAGGTGTCGTACAGTGACAACACAGCCTCTCTCAGCTCCGCAACAGTCCTGAGAGTCCTCTTCCTGAGGAAGGAGTAACCACAATGTGACTGTCAATTGGGGAAGATCCTTACTGTAGGAGGTACAATGTCATGAGTTACTGATACTGACCAATTTAGACTGAAGCTTTATTTTAAGCTGAGCCTGATTTCTTTTAAGTAATCTGCCAGTGATTTGTATATTTGTAGTACAAGGAAAAGAATGACATGAGAAAGGAGAAACAAACGAGGCGCTGCGTGAAAAGAGAGTTTGAGCACTTACTGGATGACGCTGTGAAACCTCTCAAAGCCAAGCTCCTCAGCAGCCAAAGCAGCTAAACACACACCATGCAAAAACACAAATGCATTTAACAAGACACAACAATCCAAAGAAATTATTTGTAAGATCACTGTACACTGTTAATGAGAATAGACAACTCAGCAAGTTTAGACCAGCATCCTGTGTATAATAAACCAAACATTAGGGATCAGTGTATTATTCAAACACTGGCATGTAGTCTTGTTCAGTATCTGTACAACATCCAGAAAGACTGTTACAAATTCTCTTACTTGGTGTGTCAGTAGTTTGGCTGGACTCGGGCTCTGGGTGGCCGTCTGTGGTTTTATCACGAGGCCAGGTGGCCAGGTGAAATGCCTGTGTCTTATTGAGGGAGGCTGACTCCAGAATCTCACTGAGGGTGGAGCACAGGACCGTCCGCTGCTCTTCCTCTGTAGGGGTAGATCAAGCCATGCATCTGATTTCTAAGCTGCAATAAAGATGTTGCACTGACTAACACCAGACACGAGCAGCCCAACACAATGTGAAAAAAAAGCAGATAGACACCTATTATCATCAGTGATGCGGTCTACACAGGATGCAGCACAATGCAACATGACAAATTCCAGAAGGTAAACTGATGCCCGTTCTATTTCCGTCATACTTGGCCCTGTCCCAAATGGCACCCTAAACACTTGTGGTCTTCCGACCAGTCTGCACTTGTGACATAACACCGATTTGACAGTCGTGAAGAAGTCTGCAGCGGAGCTTGCTTCAGCGCAGGCTCGGCTAAAGTGCATATACTGACCACAAGAAGATGCGTAATAGTCCCTTCCGCATAACAGTGAAAACTCAGAAAGCTGGAAAATTCCATCAATGGCGGGGAAAGCGTCAAACTGGCAAGGCTTAAAAACATGTGCAAATGATAAACTTTAGTGACGATGCAGCACTGGCCCGATCGGCCAAGTGGCAGTTCCGTCAACTGTCCCAAGTGTTGTTTATGCTGGCCCCTGGCCATTGGGCACTCCTTATGTTCGAGCCCTGCTTCTCTATATAAACTGTGTCAGACAAATATACTGGACAAACATGAAAATGAAAGTGTAATTTACTAGGATAAGACTGTTCTTTTCTTAATTTATGACGATGCAAGCAGCATTCCAAGCAGGATACCAAATGTACACAACATACTAATGAGAGCAAAATCTAAGAATGTGAAATATGATCAACACAAAAGGAGTGAGGAGACGACGACAGGAGGAGAAAAAAATTTTACTTTAGCTATAAAACAAAAAGGACAAAGTCTCACACAACGGTTCTTCCTTCAAAATTGATCTATAAAATAGGACAAAATAAAACTAATATTATGGATAATGGGTAATACAAGGTTTCTAGAACACTAATTTTATAGAGTGGTGCAGGTATGACGTCAGAACCTGGAAGACTAATTCTAAGATTTTCTATGGGGCTCTTCAAATTATGTGTAAAATAAAGCATGTAGCAAACATAGCGTTACTATGCTTTGACGTTTTGTTCTACAATATAAATTACACACACCCAGAGTGAAAACGAAAATTTTGAAGCAGTTATGTTCATTTTTGAAAACGTACATTTTTAATAAGTTAGTAAATAAGACAGCTTAGTTAGAGTGTGTGCGGTGTATGTTGTAGAACAAAACGTCAGAATTTCGTCATGTTATGTTTACCACAGTCTTTATTTTATTTGAAAAAACCTATTATAACACCCCATAGGAAAATCTCAAAGGAATCAGCAGCAAATTAGACTTATGGATTATGACGTCATACCTGAACCACTCTATCTAAAGACGTTGTAGTGAATCATCACTTTCTACACTTTTAGGCAGACAGTAAGACTACAATACAGATATGTCCCTGTAATAAGATTCAGGATGATGTCTTGCACTATGCTAATTATTTCCCATCTGCCTTTCTGCTGTTATCTCGGGACGCTTGTCCCGAGAAAAATGGCGTTCGTAGGCTCCAGTTTTGTATCCTGCCTCTCACGGGGATTTCGGATGCCCCAACGCCTGTGATGAGAAGACCAACGCCTGTGAAGAGACGACTCAACGCCTGCGAAGAGACGACTCAACGCCGGCGATATGTTATCCCCTTAATATTACATGATTAACTAAATGTATTTTTTCCAGGTACTTTCTGATATGCACTTACTGTAAAGCTTCTTTGAAACCCTATGATTGTTAGCCAGAGGAGAACTGGCCCCTGACTAGCCTGGGTTCTCCCAAGGTTTTTTTCTCCATCCAATCTGATGGAGTTTTGGTTCCTTGCCACTGTCGCCTTGCTTTTGGCTTGCTTAGTTGGGGATATTTAATATTCAACAATATTATTGAACTGTGTTGTACTACTTTCATGTTATCACTGTGAAGCTGCTTTGATGCAATCTGTATTGTGAAAAGCGCTATATAAATAAATGTGACTTGACTTGACTTGACTTTTATGCCATCATATTTCCAAAATGCACTTATAACAATGCATTAATTTATGCATTGGCACACAGTCTAAATATCAGATTATAGTTGTCTTTTGTGTAGTCTGCCTAATAACTTATATCAAGCAGAAACCAATAAAAATAAGTAACTATTGACATATTGCAACAAAACTCACATTATATGTATTGTTCATGTGTATTAAGCCACTTAATATTACATGGTCTTTTTCAATAACAGAAAAGAATACCGTATTTTCCGCACTATAAGGCGCACTTAAAAGCCTTTAATTTTCTCAAAAAACGACAGTGCGCCTTATAATGCGGAGCGCCTTATATATGGATGGGGAACACACGTTCACCAAAACGGGGAGACAGCGCCGGGCGACTTACGCCACTATCTGCCAATGGATCGTGGATGCCTGGGCTGATATATCAGTCTCAAATGTGATCCGAGCTTTCACGAAGGCAGGAAATCCAGGAATAATCTCTTTATTCAGCCAGCTCACATACCCGTATTTACTTCCTGTTTTCGGCCGAAGTCCACAGTAGTTGATTGTCGAGTTGGCGCGCGCGCGATCAAACCTCCTCCGTGTGTTCAACATCTGATTCGGATGAACTATCCATTTGAGCTGATATTCTCAGAACACCACACAGCACCGTCATCGGCTGACAGCTGACAGTCTGAGTCTCCACTGTTGCTGAGTTACCAATGATCGCGCGCGCGCACTCGACAATCGCCTACTGTGGACTTCGACCGAAAACAGGAAGAAAATACGGGTATGTGAGCTGGCTGAATAAACATCATTTTTATTCATATCTTTCACATATACTGGAGTCAGATTCACCGTGTTCACTCACATGGCTGTGCACTTGTAATGACACATTAAGGTTGTTAAGAGGCTAAAAACAGGTTTAAAACTTTTCCCGTTTAAGTCAACAGGGTGTAAATTTTAAAAAGAGGATAACACGGTGTAGGCAACACCGTTCTTTGTCGTTGTTATCTGTACTGACAGCACTCCAAATTTACAAAAAAATGAGCTCAATGTTAAAATTGACCGGAGTTTTCCTTTAACGTTTGAACAACGTTACCATGGGAGTGAACGGAGTTGTCAGAAAGCTTAATAAAGTTAGACTTTATCTGACTTTTTTGTTGACATTTGTTGACATCTAGTGGATGCATAACGCAAACCCTGTCAAACGTTGGACTGCAGTATCTTATGCGCCTTATAATCCGGTGCGCCCTATATATGAAAAATGTTCTAAAATAGGTCATTCATTGAAGGTGCGCCTTATAATCCGGTGCGCCGTATAGTGCGGAAAATACGGTACACTACAATGACTGAAACAGGACTTAGAGTAGGTAGAGATTAACTATCCTAAAAATGGTTTGAGATGCTCTGAAGTGCCTGGTTTGGGTGTTATAGAGTACCCAAAAGTGGAAACAAGGTGGAATTCTCTTTAAAATAATGCACAGCAAACCTGAAATATCTTTCCAGTTTGAGCCTTCAGTGTTAAACAGAACGTTCTTCAACAGGAAAGCCTGAGGAATAGCAAACAAAACACACAAATCATTAGGGCTTAATCAGCCAAAAGAAACAATCTGACAAAATAGCATGTCAACACCACAGTATTACAAACAGATTTAGAGAATAGGGTAGGACATCATACGCAAATCAAGCAGCATTTGTGATAGAAATGGACTGTCAGTGCAAGACTAAAGTCTGGAATATACAGCAATGACTTAGCCTAATAACTGAACAAATTTTAAAACACTAGGCATTATACACTTGTCAACTTTGTAAGGTCACAGATAAAAACTGGACTTCATACACTAAACAACTGAGGATCACACACTAGTACCAGACTTGGTAGTTGTTTCGACCACAACAAAATCACACTGAAACATGAATCTCGTTAGAAGGAGACGCATGAAAATAATATGTAATTGTAAAACAAAACCAATATGCATTCCAAAAACTGGCTCAAAATATCAAACATGTTTGATATCTTTTGACTAGATGGAATCATAGTCTGAAGCTTTATAAAAATAATAATTAAAAAAAATAATCTGACAACCCCAAATCTGCAAACTGGCTTTTGGCAAAGTTGTGTTGGGGCAAATCGGAACAAAAATCTGTACTGTATTCCAGCTTTACCCCACTGTGATATAAATAAAAGACAGCTGACAAATGAAAGGAAACCCCTAAATGAAGTGTCTTAAAGGGATAGTTCACCCAAAAATTGAAATTTTGCCATCATTTACTCACCCTCATGTTGTTCCAAACCTGTATGAGTTAAGTTTCTTTCTTCTGTTGAACACAAAAGAAGATATTTTGAAGAATGTTGGACAGTTGACGGTAGCCATTGACTTCTATAGTATTTTTTCCTACTATGGAAGTCAATGGGTGCTGTCTGGTTACCAACATTCTTCAAAATATCTTCTTTTGTGTTCAAAAGAAGAAGAAAGAAACTCATACAGGTTGGGAACAACTTGAGGGTGAGTAAGTAATGGCATAATTTAAATTTTTGGGTGAACTATCCCTTTAATAAGGTAAACATGTGCTTCCAGAAATCAGGATGGAAACCCATTCTTCCAAAGGTATTCCTTCATTGGGTGTTTTAATGATAACGGTGGAGAGTGCTGTAAGATGTCAGTTCAAAATCTCCCATAGGCATTTTTGTCTAATAAAAGTATTTTTGGAAGGATGTTCCATCATCTGAACAATTGACATGTTGTTAAACAACAGTACATGGTTCAGCATGGTTGCAGTTCACCCAGATTTTTTTGTAATTTGTCACCAACCTGTATTCTGCATCACTACAATGCAGCTTTTATGTTTGGACTATACAAAGCCATGGGTGTTGACGATTCATTATTGAACATCATCATAACCTATGAATAAAAATAAGGTTTGAGAGAAAGGTGAATACCTGTACAGGTGCAATGACAGCACACGGACCGCCTTCAAACTGCTCCAGTGCAGAGCGCTCAGCCTCAGTGAACACAAAGCCTGTGGAAAGAAATGCAGTGAACACAAAACTTAGTCAATGTCACAAGTCTCAGTTAAGCAAGTCATCACAATTCAACTGGGCAAGCAGTCAAGGTGAAGTAATATGGACTTGGCAAAGGTCTTTGCTGACGACTAACGTTACAGAATTTTTACAACACAAGTAATGGATGTATATCCTTGAAAATGAGATTCAACCTCCATAATTTGAGTCAGCATTCAGGCTGGATTACACAACATGACTTTTGCTCAGATGTTTATTTTTTTTAGACTTTGATTCCATCCGGAAAAACTAGAAAAGCCTGGATAAGTGTGATCCTCAGTAATTTAACGTTACTGTATGATGTTTAGTTTTACTCAATAACCTTTTAAAAAGTCGGCATGTATGTGTATGATGTCTTGTGTTTTAAAATGTGTTCCGATCGCTTAACGTTAACTGTTACCTTGAGACCACCTGCGGAAGAGGGATGCAGGCACTCCTCCGCCACTGGGTCTGCCCCACACCAGATCCACCACTTCTTTACTCGTATCTGACATTTCGTCTCTTGATCTTCGTTGATTTTAAGTCAAAACCAAGCATCAAGACCAATGGAGATCCTTGTGACAGCTAACCACTCTAGTGCACGCGACGTGGCTAGCGTACTCGTCCTGGCCTGCTTTTGTATTCCGCTGAATCTTAAAGATTTTTCTTTGGTGGCATTGGCCACAGATGCGCTACTGGTGCGTAAACTGTCCCGCGAGCGACGAATGATCGAACGCTCGCGCCAAAAATCGTGAAAGAACGTTATATTTTGAATAATTTACGCAGCCTCTAGCGACAACACACCACAGCCGCTCTGTTAACCTCATACGGGTTTAATTTGTGTATGAAATTAATGTTATCTTACGTCTTATCCAGTAAGTTATTCGCTTCCTTAATACAAGGTTTCTATTCTGCCTGTTTAACTATACAGGCCTGGTATGTCCTCACTGAAGTAGCAGTAACTCACTCACCATACGGTCTGTGGCTTGCTATATCACCTAACGTCAAAAAAAAAAAAACGCTTAGTTCGTTCCTCCGACTGCCTATTTTAAGAGTTGTCAACTCCACTCGAGAACACCGCGAGAAAATACTGAGGATTTCAATGTAAACTGCTCGCTATGGTAACTGCAGAGTGCTCTATGATCCATTCAGTTTATTTACTATGTTCCTCCACCTCAAGTTCGACTTTGTGAGAGATTGGTTCAAATCGAGAAGGTTCTGGTGACGTTGAGCGAGAAAAAGATTTGATTGGCTCTTCTGTCCATCAATCACACGGCAACGATGTGACGTCTTGTTTTGCCCGCCTACAACACGGAGCCTGAGCTTGAATATACACAGTAATCTTGGCTAAGTAATGTTACATAAGAAAGAGATTAGGCAGCCATAAATTCTTAAAATACCAACAGTGAAGTAGGCGCACCTACAGAGGCTATAGTGATTTATTGCCGACAGTGTTACCTTCTAAGCCTATAAAGTGTGCAGTGAACAATAGATGGTCCAAAAAATGTTTCTTCCTCTAGTCTAGATACTATAACACACCTATACATTGTAAATATACATGAACACTGCATATTTATATATAGCCCTTTGGCAAAATGTTGCTTTGGGGTAACTACTATGCGATTCATTTATGTGTATAAATTAACAATAAAATTGTTAATAAGTAAAAAAGAAAAGAAAAAAGACTGGCGGTCATTTAAATATCTTTTTTTAACGTGGTGCAATTTTTCACCCATTCAAAAACTGTTAGTGTGTATACCATATACATATTTCACCAATACTTAGTTTAAAATGATTTAACAACATTTCTCTTTGCTGTTATTTACATACCTGGCTTAAACATACCTTGCCTATTATTTTCTAAACTTTTAGTAATGTGGCCCATTATTTTTCTGAAATGAGCATTGAGAAGAGAATCACTTTAATGGGAAACAAAATCAAACGAAACATCTGCGCTTCAGCGACATACGCTTCAGAAATCATTGGAGACTTTTATTTTGTTAAAGATGTAACAGGAAGTCAATCCTTCTCTTTGACTTTTTCACGTTTAGCCCATGCGTATTTTCAGGCAGGCAAGTGAACGCTCCTCCAAGTGGAGAAGTCTTTTCCTCTACATACAAAGTAACATAAATACACAGTTTTTATCTAACAACAATGGGCGGACAAGCAAAAACTAAAAAGAAAAGCAAAGCTAAAAGAAAAGACACCAAACCAAATGGAGGTATGTCAGTTTTAGCAATCAGTAATGTTAAACTATCTGGCATTGCTGTTAAACGAAAATTATGACTTTAATACATATTATTTAAAATCCCACATCAATTAAACCCATTTCTTGCTATATAGACTGGACATGATAGTCACCTCTGCTTGTTTTGACAATAACGGTTTAATGTAAACATGACACTGCAATGTCTCTCATGTACCATGTGGCGTTTATTGTGATTTTTTTTTTGGGGGGAAGAAAAAGAAGTGTTGACAAACTTGTCATAACTGTATTTAATCTAGAATTATTTACATTAAACTAATTTTGTAGCCACATCCTGTCCTCAAAAGGTTTGATTTGGTTGTTACTAACAGATTTTTAATATATTTTTTATGCTCAGGTGCCTTGATGTCACCACAGGAAAGAATGAAAGCAAAGATGCAGGAAAGGGCCAAAAAGAAAACAGCTGAAAAATACACTGTTGATCAATTATTGGAAAAGGTAACATGTTGCCATATAATGGATTTGAATGGAAATTAAATATTAGATCTTGTTTTCAGATAGTGTACTTTCTCCGTCCCTCTCAGACTGAAGAGTGTATAGACAACTTTGACTTTGACATGGCCAGTCTGTACTGTCAGCGAGCGCTGGATATTGAACCAACTAGCCTGACCATCCTGGACATGCTGGGGAACATCTGCGCCGAGCTGGGAGATGTAGAGAAAGCTAAACAGATATCCTTTACACATACTGTGCTACCACAATTCAATGGTCTTTGATTATGAAATCACTTGAATACTGTCGTGCATATATGTAACCTGTACTGTCCACATGAAGCTTCTAGTCTTGTTTTTCCATTTGTTAAAGAGGGTTTGAGCGTATTTGTGTGTTATTGTCCTTGACAGCGGTGTGCGTGTATCTGAAGGCTGTGGAGCTCAGTCCAGATGAGGGCCACAGTAAGTACATGTACCTGGGGCAGATTCATGCAGGCATGGAGGCTGTACAGTACTTCAGTAAAGGAACTGAGGTCATGCTCAACACCATGGACAAACACACCAATGAGGCAAGACAATGCTGATACACAGTTCATGCATTTTAAATGAATTTTTGGTTCACTTGATTGTTGCCTTTACACATTTATATACATGATACAAATATTTATATACGTCTTTCAAAAGTTTGAGATTAGTAATTTGGAAGAAGTTAATACTTTTATTCTGCAAGGAGGCATTCAATTGATAAAAAGTGACAGTAAAGACATTGTTATGAAAAAAATAAGTTTAAAAAAATGCTATTGTTTTGATATTTCTATTCATCAAAGAATCACAAAAAATTATCACATTTTCCAAAAAATAATAAGTAATAAAAAAACTACTTATAATAAATGTTTCTTGAGCATATTAGAATGTTTTTGAAGGATCATGCGACGCTGAAGACTATGTTGATGAAAATTCAGATTCGCCATTACAGGAATAAATTACATTTTAAAATAATATTACAGTAGAAAACTGTTATTTTAAATTGTAATAACATTTCACAATATTACTGTTTTACCTATATTTTTGATAAAGGAAATGTAACGTTGGTGAGCATAAGAGACTTCTTTCAAAAACATTAAAAATTCCTACCAACCCCAAACTTTTGAACAGTAGTGTACATGCTATTAGCCGATGCTTTCTTTCCAAAGGAAATTGTAGGTAAATCCAAGTAAAATGTAAATGAGACTAGGGATCATTTTCGCATAGAGAAGTTGTCTCCAGGGCTATACTGTATGTTTGGAAATGAGTATTCTGAGTATTTCAACTCGGTGTATCCAATTATACAAATACTTGTTTTCGATAGCAGTTTTGTACGTTCATTTCAAACAAATAGTTCATAGACATCTTAAATTGGAATACTTTATGGTATGCGCCTATACAGAAATTGGTGCTGAAAAACATTTACTGAAAGAGCAAACAGTGTGTCAACTAGCTACCCTATATTGTGAAATGGGCGATGACCCACAGTAAAGCAGGTACCTAATACTACACGTGAAATACTAAGGCTAAACCGAAAGTGCTGGTCTAAAGTTGCGCACACAGTTCTAGTTTAGTAAATATAATGGACAAGTACTAAGATGAGCCAGTGAGTCATAGCAAGAATAAACCACGTATATTTTTAAGAAAACACAGTATGCGTAGAGTTGTAGCAGGTTAACAGAAGATGTGATTGTATGTGTTTTAACATTTCACAGAAGCCTGAAATGGAGAATGACTAGCTGAGACCAGAATTTTACTCTCTAAGATACAAAGGAATTGTAATGTTGTTTTGAGCTCCCAGAGCTTTAGCTAATGTATAATGGATGCATTCCATCATTATGGTGCGTTTTCCCAGTGGACAGCACTTTCTTTGCATTGATTAAGTTAGTTGCTGAATCAGAGTAGTGCTTTCTGATATAGTAGCAGGAAGCATTTAGTCATGCTGAGCCAGTCTCACCATAGGCCTTTGTGTGACGATTGTGTCTGTCTATGCAGGGCACGTAAATGGAATATACAGAAGAACAGATGTGTGGTGTTCCTGTAGGTGGAAAGCTATTGAAAACCACTTGGTCACAGACATTGTTTTACATCAAAGCAAACTGCAATCAATTGAAATGACCACACATGCTGTTCTTGTTGTGCATACATTACTGTGTATTGGATTGAAATGCTGTGAACAATGCTCTGAGCTTTGTGGCCCCATGGGTGAGACATCCCTCCTCAGTGGTCTAAATGATTTGTCAAAAGAAAGCAGCTATTGGATTTCTTTAGTGTTAAATGTGCAGTTCAATCTTTCAGCACTAGAGGGCAGTCAAACGTAAGCAGAAAAACAGTGAATTCACGTTTATTTGTATAGCGCTTTTCACAATACACATCATTTCCAGTCCATATTACAATTTAGAGTGATCTGTTATCAGAGGTAACTGTCTAAGTCATGTATTTCAGAAATGTACATATACAAAATCACAGTTAGCTAAAAATGTATTAATTTAAACAATGTATTAATTGAATGCAGAAACAATGAGCTTATTGAAGTAATGAATAATTTTTTGTTAACAAATGATTATGACATTTAGAAAATGTAGCATTTGGTGCATGCTGACAGTGAAGACCTGTAGAGCAGTGGTTCTCAATCGGTTTGACTGTGACATTTTCTTCCAGTATTTCTTCTGTAATTATGACAAAGCTCCTTATTTTTTGTGACAGAGTGTGTTAATTATGATTCCAACATGTTGCAGCATGTTATGTAAGCTATAATATATTAATTTCAATTATTCTAAGTCGTCCTGTGGCCCCGCCTGGGTGTCCAGGTTGAGAATCACTGCTGGCGGGTGATATTCTGTATTTTTATTTCTTATTATCAGACATTTGACAATTTTCATATATTATAATAACTGATTGTGAATATCTCTTGATTGTGTTAAAGGGATAGGTAATAATAATAAAAAGAAATACACACACAAATTTTAATAAAAACGAAAACAATTAATAATTTAAAAATGAAAATGCATTTGAATATAATTCATATATTAATAAAATGAAATTAAAATTATAATTTGCCATGAAAATATTCTAAAACTATTGTGCTCTAGTTCCAAGTCTTCTGAAGCCATAAGATGGCTTTGTGTGATGAACATGTGCCATATTTATTTTGAGATCCTCAACGGAGACTTAAATTTGGTCTGTTTGTCACACAAAGCTTTCATCTAGCACATGATTCTTATGTTTTTTCTTTTCTTTTAGGAACTGTTTGAACAAAGCTTGTTATTGTATTCCACGTATAAAAAAAAAAAAAACGTGTACAGGTTTGGAATGAAATGATGAATTAATGAGTGAATTATTATTTTAACTCATGGTCATGTGTGGATCTGTGTCCTGATAGGCTAGTGCATTTGGAGCGGCCGCATTCCCCTCTGAGGTTGCTGTCACAAGGAAGGAGGTCTCTGTGGCTTTCTGTTCCATCGCTGAGATCTTCTTCACAGATCTCTGGTAAATTTCTTTTCCTTTTGACACAGATTTATGCTGGCATTTATTCAACTTCTGCCAATCTTTGTTTGCTCTGGCCTTTCTCACTCTTTTCATTTCTCAACCTCTTTGGCTTTCTAAAACCTGATGACATGATACGTACCTGATGAAATGATATGCCACACACACACAAACACACACACACACACACACACACACACACACACACACACACACACACACACACCTGGGAGAGCGCAACAGACATGAGCCCATCTGTTCTGAGGCCTGCAGAAAAGATCTAATCACAGACTGGTTGATAGAGGGATAGAGAGAGGAAGTGGGTTGGGAATTCAGGATGGTTGAATGGTAGGAGAGAGATGAAATGTAGATCTGGATTGGGGATGCGCTTAGTGTTGATTGCCGAGGATCTTGGCATAGCGTGACTTCATTCAAACCTTGAGATTGAAATTCAAAGCATCAGGGAAAGGTCAGGTTTATTGACTATGTGTAAGAATCATACCCACCCAGCAAAAACTCGTTGAAAAGACGTTGAAAAGATGACATTGCCAGACGTCTAAACAACGTTAAAATTTGGTTGAAAAGTGAAAGGTGAAAAGACGTCTTTTTCAGGTCGTTGAAAAGACGTCTTTTTCAGGTCTTTGAAAAGACGTCTATAAATGGACGTCCCACTCACGTTTAAATTAGGTTGTAAAGTGAAAGTTGAAAAGACGTCTTTTTTTAGGCATAATTTTCATGAATTCATGATTATATTTAATATTCATAATTACTGTCAAAATAAGACAATTCACAAAAGTTTATCAAAACATTTATTGACACATAAAATACATCTTTCAAGTAAGCCTGCATTTGATCAAACATAGCCTAAAAAACTGTAATATTGTGAAATATTACTACAATAAAAATAACTTCTCTATAAATTTATAAATAAATATACATGTAAATATATAGTAAAGTGTAATTTATTCCTGTGATGGCCAAGCTGAATTTTCAGCATCATTACTCCAGTCTTCAGTGCCACATGATCATTCAGAAATCATTCTAATATGGTGATTTGATTCTCAAGAAACATTTATGATTATTATCAGTTGTACTGCTTCATGTTTTTGTGGAAAATATGATTCAGCTTTCAGTATTCTTTGAAAATAACTTTCAAAAGAGCAGCATTTATTTGAAACAATTTTTTTTAAAACAATTTAAAAGACTTTACTGTGATTTTTGATCAAATGAATCCATCTTTTCTGTATAAACATAATTTTTCAAAACAAGAAAATCTTTAAAATATTGAAAATGTTTATAAAACAGACCAATAATAACCACATTAGAAAACATTAAATGTATAGTTCACACAAAAAATTTAATTGTCATTAATTACTTACTCTCATGTCGCTCCAAACCCATAAGACTTTTGTGCAGAACACAACAGGAGATATTTTTAACAGATGCCTTGTGTGTGCAAGAAAATAAAACAAAATTATGTATCGCCGACACACGTTGCACCATGAGATAACTGACTCTCACGCCAACACAACACTGATGAATCGTGGTGCTCCATGAACACGTGTTCAGCATTCACATCGCTTCATAAAGTTGAGGTTTAACCATTGGAGAGTTATCATGAGCATTGTAATGTTTGAAACGGATGTCATAACAAATGTCAGTAGACCGGGATGATTTTAAACCGAGTGGTTCATTAATTAATCCGTACGATCTTAATAGAGTGTTTTCACTACACGTCATCAATCCGGAAGTTGGTCATTTTGGAGGCACTGAACGTAAACAATGCCACTGAACTGAACGGACTTGCATATTTGGCTGATTATTGCTGCTGAAAAATGGTCGTGTTTTGGTCTGTACTAATCGGTCGCACCGGGAAAAAAGAATTCGAGTTATATAGACTGCCAAAAGTTAAAGAGAAGAGTGCAAAAAACGGATGAAAGAAGGTGTTTGTGGTTGAGAGGCACAGCATCAGCCACATGTATAAATGAAGCGTTGACTATGGCTAAAATGTTGACGTAAAGTAGTTAACTATGGCTACATTCACACTGTCAGTCCAAATCCGATTTATCTTTGTATCCGATTGGAATCTGATCTAAAATGATGTCCACACTGTGTATCGCAACTGTTCAGATCCGAGTCGTGTGTTCATGCAGCTCTTTGGCAATGACATTGTGTTGATGGAGGGGTTTGCATTTGCAATAGAGATGTTGTCTTATTTAAATTTAACAACATGTAAATGTGTATCCGCCGCGCTGGACTCGAGCTGCAGAACTGGACGAGGCTGGTATGCACAGCTTTTTTCCGCGCTTATCTGCGCCGGTTTCAAAAATAATAATTTTCTGCTTGTCCGGCTATTTGCAACAACACAGCCTTGTTTCAGCAGCGACTTTTAGCATGTTCCCTATAACAACGTCTGACGTTTACATTTACGTGGCGTGAGAAAGTCACATACCACGCGAAATCCAATCCGAGCGTTCAGACTGAAGCAGATTTCCTGATATGTGATTTTAATAGGATTTCAAACCACATATGGATGTAGCTTGAAACGGATTTCATGTGGGGTTTTTTTAGACTGACAATCTGAACGTAGCCTATGTGGGATAAGAAATAGAAGGATGAATAGCAGTAAGGGCTAGAGAAGCTAGCTCGTTCAGATCTTTACCAGATATTAACTTTAGTTCGTCAAAATTCCGCGCTCTTTCCTGCTTACCAAGTCCTTCTCTATATGATTTTGCAGCTTCCATGTGTTTTTTTCGTAGTTTAGACATAATAAATTAGTGTAACAATGTGTTCAGTAGTACATAAACAGTGCAATCCATGCTGTTGTTTACATCCGAGCCAATATAGCCGTGCATCCGGGTAACTGGCCAAATCGTGACGTAGGTGCAAACCCTCTATTGGTTATTTTTATAATGTCTTACCTTTCTGAAGCTTGAAAGTGGTAGTTGCATAAACTGTGAAATTGAGGGACAGAAAGCTCTCAGATTTCATTAAAAATATCTACATTTGTGTTTCAAAGATGAATGAAAGTCTTACAGGTTTGCAACGACATGAAGGTGAGTGACGAAAATTTTTGGTCAAATTTTACACATTAAATCAGTTCCCTCAGGGGCACCAATAGATCTCTTCCTGATCTCCGATCTTCTGGTTCTTCTGCTCCTTCCACCATCCCAACCCCAGACTATTGAGCCACGACTGACGTTTTTACTTTGAATGCTTTAGCCTGGTGAGAAAGAAAACAATAACCAAAATGTACATTTTAAAAAACAAAACAATGGCTGTCCAAAACGTAAAGTAAACACTTGAATTTTTCCTATACATATACGTGCAAGATTTCAGTCATAGATAAATTGTAAATGTTTGCTTGATCAGACATTACCTGTCTAGCGATATGTTTATGCTGAAATATAATATTGTTTTGTGTTTTAAAATCATCTATCATGTGTCATTTTGTAGCGAACTGTCTCGTGTGATTTAAAGTTTTGAGGTTCAGAACTTCTGATAAGGGAAAATAGTGAGTTTTTAGGGAGCGAATGTTTCAGTGCACTGTAAGGATTTTGTGATTTAAGACAGCCCTTAACCACTGACTACTGAGCTAGGGACCTGAGTGATAAGCACCCAGAGTTTAGCACCTTGATTAGCTTGTTCAGGTGTGCTGGAGGTTAGAGCAAAACTTTGTTATGAACATGACACATCAGAGATGCAGGATGGCTGCTAGATTGATGACTTACAACAGTGGCATCCAGACCAGACCAGACCAATGTTCTGCAGAGTTTCTGGTGATGTTTGGTCAGCTGCTCAGATCTGATTAATTGGGGTTGGAGCTAACAATACTGAAAAGAGAAAGACAACCAATATTATTACGTTATAAATAATTTGTTCTGTGTTCATCTGCTTACCTGTACAAAGTATGCATCATCAATAAACTGTATTGAATTTGATATTGTAATAACACTGTTTTACTACATTAATACTAACTACAAACCTGATTAAAAAATGACTGGCGGGCAATGGAGGAAAGCCTTATTTTGCCCTCCAGGTGGGCGTTCCTATAATGGTGTGACGATAAATTAGCTTAATTCCATTCATCCATTGACCAATTGCCAACAAAATCTTTACAAAACTATCAAAATATCTCATCTACACATAAGATGCGATTAAAATCCCAAACTTACAGCTCAAGTCTATAGTTAACGTTAACCTAACTTACCTCTAGTTAGCCTAACGGTTGAGATGCTAACGGACTTTTTCGAAGACACTAACCACGTAAATATTCAACGGAAGCGAGTCATTTACATGAAAGAAAGTGTCGGACACATTTGTATGTACTATTTGTGTAATTTTAGGGACTAAACTTACCTGAAAGTAGTGAAAACAACAGCTAGAGACGGAGTTGTGCTGCTTGTCAGTTGAGCTGCCGCCCGGTATCCATGGTAACGCTGTCCGCTCCAGTTCAAATGCGGCTCGAATATTCAGCGCGCGCGCCCATTAAAACACGTAGAGTTACGCAGCATTTACATATAGAATAGATGGAGTGAATTATTTGATAATCAGATAAAAATATCCTGAAACTTGATACATTATTAAGTGGATAGTAGGCCTGTGGCCATCGTCAAACTGTAAATGGAATGATCATATAAAGCAGTAGCCTAGGCAGGCTATTGAAAATGTAAAACAATGTTTGAAGTCTAATAGTCTAATAATATAATATAATATAATATAATATAATATAATATAATATAATATAATATAATATAATATAGCTTTAGAAATGGTAAACGTGGTGTAGATTTCTTTTTTTTTTGCAAAAACATTGATTAAAACCTACATGATAAGGCATTTTCTCATGTACACAGATTACAGATGAAGCATGAGGAACAATTTATAAACTATGTTCTATGTATTTTTTAAATACATTCCAATATGCAAGCCAAGCGTTCTTATAATGGTTTGGAGGAAAATGCTTAATGTGGAGACTAATTAAACGCGTTGCGTTCATATTCTGGGCTCATCTGATTGGCCTACTTTATTATGATTTTAGTATCATAACGATTAATAAATGCACGCACAATTATCCGTGAACTTGATAAATGTTGCAGATATGTTTTACTATGCATGCACAAAAAAGTGCCTTTCAACTTGTGTGTGCAAAATTCTGAATTAAATGTGTGCAGCAATTTGTACAAATAGAGAGTCTGTATACGTTATAGCCATTAAATAAGCCCAGTTAGTTTCATATTTGTTAAAATATTATAATGTGTTTTTTTTTTCATCTATGTTGATTATGAAAGTGAACAGCATGAGTAAGATATAGCCTATATGTGTAGGCCTAATATATCGGGAGACATGCAGTTTTGGTCAGACAGGATTTTGACTACATTAAATTTTGTTTTGTAGAAAGCCTTTCTTAAAAATGAATTTCGTTTTGTATAAATTGTATTTTAATTTTAATAAATTTTTCATCAACCAATTGCCAGGATTTAAAAAAAATAGCAAATATAGCAAACAATATAATCATGAGCGCCGGCGCGGTCACTGCACTCATTGCATTGCTCTGGAGCGCATATCATCATAAATTAACCACAACTCAGCGTATGTCTCAAAGACATGAGAAATATAGAGGGCTTGAAATGTCTTTAAACAAAACAATTCAAAACGAAAAGAAATAGGCTAGCTACCCTCTGATTATGTTATCCATTTTGTGCATTTAGGCGCGTTCACTACGGAGATGGAGATCTTCAAATTCATATTTTGCAGCGGACACCGAAAACACTAGTTTATTAATAAAAATAAAATGCAATAAAAATCAATGCACGCGTGTCACCGGATTTACAAATGCACATCTTGCTTGTTGCACGCACACATTATGTCAAAATTACAAGATATTATGTTGAACATTATTAATAATACATAATAATATGTGATTGAATGCTGAATGTTGTGCTTGGTTTAATTTAAATTTAAAACCTGAATTGTGATAATTAAAATAATTGAATATGATATATTGAGTGGCCAAGTTTTGCTCATTTATTAAAAGTAGCCTATACATAATTGCGCAGGTCCCCTGTCAATGATCTAGCACCCCCTCAGCACCTGCGTTAAAAATTCTCTGGCACCGCCCTAAGAGCGTTTTTTTTTTTTTTTGGACCAAATCAGACGGACCAAACAAAGACCAATTTTCAACGTCTTTGTTTGGGCTAAATTTGGACCAAATCAGACGGACCAAACAAAGCCCAATTTTCAACGTCTTTTTTTGGGCTAAATGAAGGCTATGACGGGCCGACTTGATTTAGCCCAAAAAACAACGTCTTAATGACGTCTGGTGCTGGGTGGGTACCATTTCACACATCGATGTACATTATGAAGGTACAGCAGCAGCATCTAGCAAAGTACAGTTTGTCTGTGCCTTTTCTTATTGATGTACTGTATGGTTGAATGTGTGTATCTGGGTGTGTTGTTTTGGTAGATGTTTGCTGCAGGCGATAACTGGGAAATCAAGAGCAAAAAAAAGTGTATGTGCTAACAAATAATATTTTCTTCAGTAGTGTGGATGGATGCCCTTGGGTGCTGTGGAAACTCTGGTTTAGTTCAATTATTGGTCAAACTTGTAATTTTGTGCAGACCTTGTACACAGATCAAGCTACAAGACACAATGTTTGTATGTTTAAAAAATAACCGGAGTTCTTATATCATTTCTGTGTGAAAGTGTTCACACACAGGTTTTTATGCAGTTTTTTCCCCCATATCCCCCATACTTCCACTTTTCCTGTACTGCTTTTTTATCTTATCCTATGTCCTCTTAGCCTTATCTTATACTACTTCAATGTACTCTACTTTCTTTCACCTTATATAATTTATTAACTGTTATCCTATTCTATCCTTATCCTTTTATCACATCTTCTTGTCCTATCCTTCTACCTCTCATTGTTTTGGTTTGGAAAAATGTAAATTTAATTAAAGTGTTAAATCAAAGTTATTGATTGATCATAATTTCTTTGAAAACATTTGGACACAGGTTTTTACACCAAAAAAATGCATACACATGGTTAGTGATGATAACTTTAATAACACTGAATGATTTTTATGTGCTTTAAATAACTATTTTCTTGTTTGACAGCATGGAGGAGGGCGCTGCTGACCGCTGTAAAGAGGCCATCGATAAAGCTCTACAGTACGACGAACATAACCCTGAGGCTCTGCAGCTGATGGCCAGCTATCTGTTCAGCATTGAGAAAACTGAGGTACAACAGGACATCTGTGGAGTGAATTACCCAGAGTTCCCCTCACCATCTCACTGGATCACTGCACTTTTAGAAAGAAAAGCGTTCTGAGCTGCGGGTCATTATGCAGTCATAATTACTGTAGGTGGAGAGCAGCTGAGAGAGCTGAGTCATGTGTTTCTGAGAAGGAGACACAGATCAAAATTGTGTGCAAGAGAATGGGCGAGTAAGAGAGACAGGTTTTTGGGAATGTATGCTTGTTTTTGTATGAGAAATAGTCAAAGATGAGAGTTAGGTCACAGGTAATGAATTGTAAACCATTAATAGAACAAGCTTGTAGAAAAGGACCCACTGTGGGACTGATTTTCTACAAGTGCAAACACATTCGCTTGGATGCAGTTCCTCATTGAACCATTAGGGGGCAAACAGACATAAGACCAGCACATCTACTAATCCTGATCTACCCTCTGAGTTGAGCGTCAGTGTGCAGCTTAAAATGCTTGCAACATTTGTGAGTATTTTCACTTCAGAGGACAGTTCCATTTCCCTTCAGAGAGCTGACAGTAGAACTTGACTTAACAATCATAAGCTTGAGTCTCTTTGTCTGCTCTAACCTCAACCTTTTTCATGCTTGTACTTTTTCATCTCATCCTATGTCACTCCCTCTCATCCTGTATTGCTCCCTGTAGTTCTTTACCACATTCTATAATCCTGTACAACTTGCTCTTATTCGTGCTATTTCCTACCTCCTCTCAGTGTATGCGACATCCTTTTGTCTTATCTTACTTTCTCTCATCTTATTGCTCCTTATTGTCCATTCTATTTCGTACTTCTCAGTTCTCATCATATATGGTACCACTTCCTCTCATCCCCTCGTTCTCATTTTCCTCTCAACGTTTTATACTTCCTCTTATCCTTTACTACTTCCTCTCATCCTATCCTACTTCATTTTTCTCTCATACCACGACAAGTTATCCTACTTTCTGTCACTTCTTTTCATCATATACCACGTCCCCTCATCTTATAGTGTCATGTTGTACTATCCTAATTCTTGTCATCCTATTCTGCTTCCTACCCCCTCATATCCTATCCTATTTACTCTGTTCCATGACTGGTTTCTCTCTTCTCATCCTATATTGTTCCAGCTTGTCTTTTAACACTTTCTCTTATCCCGTACCACTTCATCTTATTCATGCTATTTCCTTCGTCCTCCCATGCTTTACTACTTTCTCTCATCATATACCATATATTATTCCCCTTCTATTTCCTACTTATTTGGATCATATACAGTGCCACTTCCTCTCATCCTTCATCACTTCTTCTCATGCTGTAAGACTTCCCCTCATCTTATCTTACTTTCTCTCGCTCTGACCTACTTCCTTTTATCCTATCCTGCTTCCTCTCAATGTATTATACTTCCTCTCATCCTATCCTACTTCCTTTCATCTTGTACTACTACCTGTTAACCTACCTTCTGCCACTTCCTCTCATGCTTTACTACTTCCACTCATTCTATACCACTTTTTATTACCTATGCTTAGTACTTTCTTTGCATCATATACAGTACTACTTCTTCTTCTCGTCCTGTATCATTTGATTCATTTCCTCTCATGCTGTAAGATGTCCGCTAATTTCTTTCTCACTTTCTCTCAATCCAACCTACTATTTCACTTTATCCTACCCTACTTCCTCTCAATGTTTTCTACTTCCTCTTATGCTTTACTGCTTCCTCTCATCCCATCCTACTTCCTTTCATCTCATACCACAACCTGTTGTTGTATATTGTCACTTCCTCTCATTCTATACCACTTCTTCTCATCTTATAGAGCTTCCTGTTGTCCTATTGTACTTCCTAGTTGCCATAGTATTATATTTCCTGGTTCTGAGTCATTTTTATCACATCCCACTACCTCTCATATCATCTTACTTCCTCTCATGCTATATCGCCTAAGCTATTTCCTACTTATTTGCATCATATACACTTCCTGTCATCCTTTATTACTTCCTGTCATTCTGTCTTACTTTCTCTCTCCCTTACCTTCTGCCTTTCATCCTATCCTGCATCCTCTCAACATATTCTCATACCAATACCTGTTAATATCATACATTCTATAACTTCCTCTGACCCTATACCACTTCCTCATATCTTTTAGACCTTCCTCTTGGCCTATCCTACTTCTTGTCTTTCTATTCTATTTCCTAGTTCCTTGTATCCTATCCCATTTCTCTCATCACATCCCATCACCTCCCATCCCATCTTACTTACTCTATATACTTACTCCTATACCTCTTCCTGAGGCATGTACCATGTACCTGTATTTTTAGTTTTACAATCAGAATACTTGGAGAGGCTCTTTCAAATTTATTTGATCCTCCTTTATGCAGGAGGGGCGTGACTACCTGAAGAAGAGCGTGTCGTCATGGTTACCTAGCCTACAGAAAAAGGAAGAGTCATTGGTGAGCGCAGCACACGACATGGAGGAGGAAGAAAATCAGACTAAGGTGCGTATACAGGTGTTTGTGTTCCAAAGGCAACAGAGAGATAAAGATAGGATGCATAATGACCTTTCCTTTGACCTCTTTCTGATTGCAAGGCAGGAAATAGCACTGCACTTAAAGAAGGTTTTAGTCTGGGAAAGATAAGGGAAGAAAGGAAACGAACTAGCTTATTTATGTTTTTATTTTTCTCTCAAAGCCAGGTCAAGGCTGTGGCAGTCTGCTGCATGGCTAGCCCTGCGGCCACACGTGCACACGCACAGCTCCCCCATCAAGTGACCACGCTTTCCACTGAACCTGTTTTTTGCTTAAGGCTACACATTTCATGCTTTTTCAAAAACATATTTATGTTACTGTGTCTAAATGAATTTTTGCAGTTCATCTGTTAAGTAGGGCTTTACGCTGCTGAAGAAACCACAGAAAAACAAGCCTCACCTGAACTGACTCGTTGAGGGAATTTATAAAAGTTTGTTTACTTTCCTACTGGTTAAAATTTCAGGGAACTTGCTTTGCACTAGACATAAATTTGTGATATGTAGATGCAGCTTTGCAAAGTTTGGAAAATCCTGGCAGGTTGGAGAGTATGTGCATCTTTGAAGCATGTTGTAATCAGGTTCAGCGCTCTTATCAACTCTTTTTACATAGCTGATTTAGAAAACATTTATCCAGTATAGAGACGAAAGAGATTGTGTTAATATGTGAAATACAATAATGAGCCTGATAACATCACAGACAAGCTACAATGAACACAAGAGATGAAGCGAGATGATATGTTGAAATAGAGAATAGTGTTTATGAAGAGGATTATTAAAATGTCTATTTAGACCTTGAGAAAATCAGTCACATGCAGAACTTAATGGACCATTAAGCCCAAAGTATACTTCGGCCACCCACCACCCACGGGACGTAACTTTTGTCATCAGGAGGGTCTGCGGACTTCCGCACACCCCGTCCACGTGAGGCCCAATTTTTGTAAAATGTTATTTTAGCATCACATCAGCATATTAGAATGATTTCTGAAGGATCATGTGATACTGGAGTAATGACTGCTGAAAATGCAACTTTTCCAATACAGGAATTACAGTTGAAATTATATTCAAATAGAAAAGATTTATTTTGAATTATACTAATATATCACAATATTTCTGTATTTCTATATTTCAATTTTATTAATTAAAAAAATGCAGCCTTGGTGATCATTATAGACTTATTTAATAAACATCCTTATCCATATAATAATCTTATCCATTTTTGGTAGTGTACTTATTTTCTCATTTTTATTAATGTTTATTAATCGTTATTGAGTCTTTTAAATCAATTTTCATATAATTTTCTCATCAATTCACATCATCAAGTCTTTCATTACCCTTAATTTACCTCTCAGTTAATATTTATTTACATTTTTGTTTTAGAGCAACATCCCACCATATGAATCCAGAATAACTACAGCCAAACTGCTGATCGAGGCCGAGGAGTATGAGGTAGGACAATGGTCTAGCTCAACACTTTTAAGAAGATCATTTCAAATGTTTCAGTCAGTTTCCTTCCAGTATAGAATTCACATTTCAGAATGTTCAACTTGAACGCTTCTCTGCCAGGCCGAACTGAAGTGTCCACTGAATGTTGAAGTGGAGCGTATAGTACCTGTCAGTAATTCTTTGAGGTCTTAGCGGTGGTGGTGATGTCTTATACACGGATTCAACTGATGAGCTTTTTTTAAGCTATTGGGTTAGAAACTGTTTCATAATAGGGCATTGGATCCATTCTATAGCCAGTCAATTATTTTATTATCTTGTGTTAGCACACTTTAATCCAAACCAATCCGTTCTTGCTGTGCAAGCAAGTTTAAAGACCTATAGAATACAGCTTGTACAAGTACACTAATATTAGCTACAAACAGGCTTAAAGCTGTCAGTGTTGTGAGTAATGAGAAGGTTTAATGTGTGCTCTATTGCAGCTGTAGAGTAAACCATCACCCAGTGTGTTGTAATATTGTATAATTGTCAACGGAACAATTATTTACTGTCTAATGTGTATTTCTGTGGCTGATGAGTTGAACAAATCAGCTATACCTCATAAGATTCCACTCACCAGCTCTGCAAAGCGAAAGAGGTGTAAGTGCGAAAATAAGTAAATATTGTTAGTAAATATTGACGTTGTATTGAGAGGACTGATCTTCACATACAAATATTGATGACTAGTAATTTTCTTACTTATTGTGAAAATTAATCCGCAAAATAAATTAACTGACAGCTCTTATTCAAATAGAGAGTGCTGATATTGACAGAGACAGAAACATTACTATAGACAACAATATATATATATATATATATATATATATATATATATATATATATATATATAAGGTACAGCTAAATGTGACAATTATCATATGGGTTTATGTCACAAATGAGTATCAGTAGCAGTATAAGTATCTACTGGCCTTCATTTAGTAAAAATATATTATTAATATTTAAAATAAACAGTCTTAAAGTTGTTTCTTTTCTGTGGTATAGCATTTTAAAATTGGCTGTTTATCGCTTATCAGTCATAACATGAAAATAATTATCAGCTCATTGTTTTATTCCAACACTTAGTGAGCAACCTACATAGACAGAATTTCTGAGTGTCATCAGATGGATTCAAGCATTCCATTTCCAATGATGCCCTAACATGCTGTCTACTGTCTAGGTAGGCAGCTCATTTGTTTATGAGACACAGCCATTCAAAGTTGAGGTGAACTGTATAGTCCTCCAGTGTTGGTTAGTAGTTATGTCTATCGTGTTAGTGTAATGGAGTCCCACAGCTGTTTTCTGAGCGAGACCGTGTCCACGGTTATTAATGCTAAGACTATAGATTTGTTTCCCTTTAAACTCTTTTCTCATTTTCTATCAGCGCTAAGGCGACCTCTGAATAATGCAGGAATGGTATTTTATTTGCACTTATCCTTGACCTTTCCAGTTGAGTGTGAGTGTGCAGTAAGACTCTTTTTGTACAGAGAGTGTGAACGTCCTGACACCTGTCCAGCACTCGGAGAGAGGTATTGGAAAAAGTGAGAGAACAGAGAATTTAAATAATAGCGAAAAAGGAAAGAGAAAGAATGACAGGGTCGAGAGACAGAATGAAATAAGGCAGGACCAGGATGAGATGCTATAAAAGTGAAAGTCAGTTTGAGAGAGAGAGAGAATGATAAATTGGCAGCTGTGTGGAGCTCACTTTTCTTTAGTTCTTTTTCACACTTGCTTATATTTGTTCGGTTCATCCTGAGGAGACAGTGAAGGACTGAGTGCTGCAGCCTGACTTTAAAAGCGTCTACTCTCCCTTAGCCGAACACAAATAGAATCTCCTCTCAGCACGGGGGACGTATTAATATTAAAAACCAGTCACCTGGCTGTCTGTCAAAATGATGCCAAAGGTTGCAGGGTCATCTCTGTGACAGCGGGTGTTTAGACAGAAGCCGGGCCCCCCAGCAGCAAGGCCCTTTGATTGGACAGCTGGGAAAGGTGAGCACTTCTAAACAGGGAGAGAGAGAAACAGGATGGGCTATTTTAGATATCTAGAGGCAGTCCAAGCTCAAGATGCTGGTGTAAAAACTCAGTTTTAAACATTCAGCAAAACGAAGCCCAAATTGCTCAAATAATTTTTTTTTTGTAGTAAACATCCCTATTCATATTTTACATGATGCCTTACTACACGTAATAATAATAAATAATCAGCTAAATAAATGAAAAGTATATAATATAAAAAATATGAACTAAAACATAATAATGAACTAATAATGTAAGCTACTTTTCACTGTTTAGTCAGACCCAGTGGATGAGCTGGGACTTGTTGCTACGATATTATCATATCTATTGATATCTGGCTCATGACACACAAATATATCCTGCTAAATTTATGGTAAAAAAATAAATAACTGTGGTTGCAATGTTTCAACTGTGGTATACTGTGGTATATTTCATCTGAACTGATTAAGTGTTTCTCGCCCTAAATTATATGGTAATTAATAGTTTTTACTTTTAAAAAATCCACAATTTTGTCACTATTTTACACAAAAAAAGCATATAATGTGTTGTTAAAATATTTACAGTTTTTACAGTGTATGGGTTGGTAACTTGATAACATGGGTTCGATTCCCAGGGAAAGCAAGAACTGATAAGAATGTAAATGTGTACCTTGAAATGCAATGCAAGTCGCTTTGGATAAAAGCGTCTGCCAAATGCATAAATGTAAAGGTAAATGTAACTTTCAGTTTACCAAATAATTTTTTTACATTAGCATTTTTACATTTTGCATATTATTGCATGATTTTATTGACAGTGTAATGTACAATAATATTGTGATTGTTTAGTATCTATATCTACATATATTATTCATATATATATATATATATAAATATAAATATATATTTTTTACGTATTTCCTAAAAAATGTAAAATTTAATAATATATATATATATATATATATATATATATATTTTAAACATTCTTACAGTATTTTAAGGTAAAATCTTGCAATACAGTACAAATACTTATACTTAATACTTATACTTAACAAAATAGTGAGTTTTATTTCATGTTATCCTTTGAAAGAAGGAAGGGTCTATTATCTGTTTTCCTTGCTTTATAGATTAATGTGTATGCGCCCTCTTGCCGTAATGTCCTGCATGAGCACATTCAATATTAGTTTTGTTGGCTATGTATGTAACTGTCAGACTGTGGCAATTCAAAATGAGTTTTGAGGACTCTGGAGAGTGTGTGTGTAGTGGCAGCGCATGCTGCATGAGCTAACTCAATATTAGCAAGGCCTTTTCCTGCTCCACTCCAGCTGGGTCAAAGCCTGACACACTGTGTGACAGCACAAGATTGATGTCTTTCTTTGCCAGTGGTCTGAACAGAGGGAGGAGAGGAAGAGTGTCACGGGCAGTAGAATGAGGGGGAGGGAAGGATGGAGAGAGCCGAAGAGACATAGTTGTATAAAATGCCTTGGTTGGGAGGAGAAGGAAGTCTTGCCATTTGAACAAAGTGACAAAGGTACTGTTTAATGTCTGTAGCGGTGGACTTAATTATCTCTAAAGAGGGAGATATTTAAAAGAAACTCAAACCCTAGGGACCCACACACAAGGTTATACACACTCCCAGACACCTGTGCTAATTAGGCTTTTGGAGCTAATGGCCACACACCAGTACACTTCCTCAAATAAAACTAGACTTTTTTTTTTTTTTTGTCTCAGCTCAGCCAAGTGTACAGTGACCTCAAAAAGTTTCTGGATGCTTAAGTCACTCTTAATGTTATTGCATTACATAACAAAATATAAAACCTGATTTCTTTATTCTTAGTTTAACCTAAATTGATTAAAACTAATTCACTTAAATGGCTATGAAGGGTTCTCACATAATTTGTTTGGAGATTTCAATTGTTTAAAAAAAAAAAAAATCTGTAATGGAAATTGATCAAAAGTGACAAAGATATTTATCATTTTCAACTGTGATAATGAAAAGAAAATGTTTCTTAAGCAGCATGTGACTGAAGACTGGAGAAATGTGGCTGAAAATACAGCTTTGCCATGACAAGAAATTAATTTAAATTCAAATAGAAATAGTTATTTTAATGGCTTTACTGTATAATTGATCAAATAAATGCAGCCTTTGTTGAACATACAAACTTTCTCTCAAAAATCTTACTGACCCCCAACTTTTGAATTGTATTTGTTTATTATTATTATTAGCACTTTTGTGTCCTTTTTGAATCTTGAAAGCTCCAATCGTCATTTATTGTAATTCCCTGGAAAAGTACAGTCCAGTACATTTATCCCAAATTTATCCTTTTATTGTCCACGAAAGAAAGTCATTCATACTGGTTTGGAACGACATGAGGGCGAGTAAATGAATTTCCATTGCTGGATCAATCTCTTTAAACTGACACAATGACATGTAACTGTATCTAAGCTGTAGTTTGTCAGTTAGCTGGCTCTTTGGAAGTGATTTAAAGTACTTAATACAGGACACAATGGATCGTCTCGTGGGGTTTGAGCCTACAACCTATTTTGACAGTTCTGACGTAATCACAGTCTTGCTCATCCCAATTCAAAATCCTAAATATCAAACATGTTTGATATGATCGGTGCGGGCCCGATTTGTGTGAAAGCAGATCGGGAGGTGCAAGATTCAATCTGTGATCGAGGTCCTCGACAAGATTTTTTTCTCCGATTCTCGGGAGGGGAAAATTGGTGTTAAATCGGCCTAAACCTCCTGTAGTGTGAGCCAGGCATAAATGAATTTTCATTGCTGGATCAATCCCTTTGAACTGACACAATGACATGTAACTGTATATAAGTCTAAGCTGTTGTTTGTCAGTTAGCTGGCTCTTTGGAAGTGATTTAAAGTACTAATACAGGACACAATGGAGTTCATGGATCGTCTCGTGGGGTTTGAGCCTACAACCTTTTGGATTGGTTTGCTACACTATGCTACTTTATGAT